TGGGTTCGATTCCTCAGCACCACATAAGCAAAAAGAAAAAAGCCAGAAGTGGCGCTGTGGCTCAAGTGGTAGAGCTCTAGCCTTGAGCTGAAGAGCTGAGCGACAGTGCCCAGGCCCAGAGTTCAGGCCCTATGACCAGACCCCCCCAAAAAATACATTTATAAATAATAGTACTTTCTATTTTCACCTGGAAGATGTTATTTTGCTGCCCAAAGTACCAGAAGATAATTAAAAGAATGCCTTTGGAACAGGACACAAAAGCTATTGTTTTCTCAGTTAACTGACATATTTCTAAAGTCTTTTACTTTCCTGAAGAAAAAAAGAAACTACCTTAGAAAACTGCCTTCTTTTTACTTGTCTAAGAGTGTCCAAAGTGACATCATTTTAATAAATCAGTAAGGCACATTTAAATATTGATTTTTTAAAAATTGTAGATAGACTTTCCTGCCCAAGCTGACTTCAAACCACAATCCTCAGATCTCACACTCCTAAGTAGCTTAGAATTAATTACAGGCATGAACCACCAGTGCCTGGCTAAATGTTCATTTTTTAAAGAATCTGTACAATTCTAAATTATAGTGATCTGTGTTTTGGAGGGCACTCTAGGGATTGAATTGAGGGCCTAGAGTATGATAGGAAAACATTCTCTACCTCTTGACCCATGCCTCCAGTACCTAGTGGCTTGATTTTAAAACTTTTATCTGTATTTTTTTTTTTTTGCCAGTCCTGGGCCTTGAACTCAGGGCCTGGACACTGTCCCTGAGCTTCTGTTGCTCAAGCTAGTATTCTATCACTTGAGCCACTGTTCCACTTCTGGCCTTTTCTGTTTATGTCTTCTTGAGGAATCGAATCCAGGGTTTCATGCATGCTAGGGAAGCATTCTACCACTAAGTCATATACCAAGCTCCTTTATCTGCATTTTTAATAGCTTACATTGGTTATGCAGAGGTAGATTTTATTGTTACATCTTCACACACATTTCAGTATGTTCCAACCAATCTCACCCTAAAGCTTTAAATTTTTAAAAGTTTAATGATTAAGCTTTTTATCACACAGTAACACTAAAATGTGAATTTTAAATGTGTATAAATTCTACCTCCAATTGAACAAAAATGCCATGGCAAAGTAGGGCCCACTTTTAAATTACAGTAGCCACATATTTTTTAGTGTCATTTAATCCTCTCAAATGAGTTAGGTGGGGCTGGGAAGGTGGCTCAGTGGTAGAGTGCTTGCCTTGCATGCATGAGGCCCTGGGTTCGATTCCTCAGCACCACATAAGCAGAAAAAGCTGGAAGTGGTGCTATGGTTCAAGTGGTAGAATGCTAACCTTGAACTGAAAAGCTGAGGGACAGCGCCCAGGCCCATTGTTCAGGCCCCATGACTGACAATAAAAATAAAAATAACAATGGGTTAGGTATTTTTGTTAGTCTTTTGTTACTGATGAGGAAAGTTTGAGTCACTTGCTTTAGATTACATGGAGGAAATGAGTTGGGATTCGATCTAGGTAAGTTGAACTATCTGGTCCTATGTTATCTTTAAGATCTGCATTTAAAACCAGTAGATCTTGTTACAGACTTACATGACTGCTTCTAACATGTTTTCTACTTCTCAGGGATCAACATGAGCGACCTTCTGCTCTCCAGCTCCTAAAACACTCCTTCCTGAACAGAAGTCCCTGAATATCCATCAAGACTTTCTTCCCAGGCCCACTGGAGATGCTCCCATATTGCTTCATTGTGGGGAATGATGGTTAAGCAATCTCTGCTTTCCTACTGGATATGCCACCTAATCCAACTTAACCAGATCCTGCAGTGTCATTAACAAAGTTTAGTTGCATATCGGTGTCCTCAAGCTGCAAGTATATTGCTCATGAGCAATTTCTTAATGATAAAAATGAACCCCCCATTCCAGTGTTTACAATTTTTGATTATCTAAAGACTTCAATTTATATTGCTTTATAAGACATTTCCTTTTTTTTTTTTTTTGGCTTCTCAGTTTTCATGTCATTAGTTTAGAATTGTGTAGTCACTCTAGCCCCAGAGATGACTTGCATTCAATCTATTGAAAAATGTATTCCTTTCCTAATAAACTTTCTTATTGGTTACTACATTTCTCAGCTTGCCTGAATTCTTCTCTTACCATATGCAAGGAACAAAGTAGGTTACTACATTGACTTCCCAGTTACATATTTTGCCACTGTGTCTCAGATAAATTACATGTATGTGTGACTTGGCTCTTGTCTAGGATATAACTGGATCTAAAATGCCTGTTTCTGCAGGAATAAGAACCACCCTCTTATAAAGACTGTATATGACAAACTTACAGCCAGCATTATACCTAATGGCAAAAAAACTAAAGCCTTTCCTCTAAACTCAGGAACGCGACAAGGATGTCCACTCTCTTTACTTCTCTTCAAGTTAGTACTAGAATGCCTAGCTACAGCAATAAAACAAGATGCAAACATAAAAGCAATCCAAATAGGGAAAGAAGAAGTAAAACTCTCCTTTTTTGCAGATGACATGATAACCAGGCATGGATGATAGAGCACTAGTCTTGAACAAAAATAGCTCAGGGACAGTGTCAAGGCCCTGAGTGCAAGCCCCAGGACAGTCATAAAAAATAAAAATAAAGTAATTAAAGAATTAAAGCAAGTGCTCCCTAGGTGAGGAGAATCTATTAAATTGGTTCTATCTTCAGCCTCTTGAGGCTCAAACAAGAGTTCATTGTGTGGAGGGGGTAACAATGTTCAAGAGGAAGTGGACTCATTACCTCACTCATGTAACTGTAACCCTCTGTATAGTATCTTTACAATAAAAAAAACAAAAACAAAAACAAACAAACAAAAAAGAGTTCATTGTGTTTGTTTTATGCTAATATGTGTGTATATCTTAAAATCCTTCAGAAAACCTGTGATCATAGACTAAGCAGGTATTCCTTTGGGTATTAGTCTATCAAACATTGGGCAAAAAAAAAAATCAAACCAAACAAAAATAAAAAATCAATTTGCTCCTGGAATTCCAACAAAACTGACCAGTTAGTACAACAGTCTTTCTCCCTCCCTCCCTCCCTCCCTCCCTTCCCTTTCTTTACCTCCCTCCCTCCCTTCCCTTCCCTCTTCCTTTCTTCCCTCCCTCCCTTCCCTTCCTTTCCTTCTTTCCCTCCCTGCTTCTCCCTCCTCCTCCTCTTCTGCTTCTTCTTCTGCTTCCTTCTCCTCCTCCTTCTCCCCCTCCCCCCTTTTCTCTCTCTCTCTTTTCTTTGTGCTCACAAGTGTGCTAATACTGGTGGTTAAATCCAGGGCTTGGTGGCTGTTCCTTAGCTTTTTTGCTCAAGGCTAGTTCACTGCCATTTGAACCACAGCATCACTTCCCACTTTTGAGGGTTAATTTGAGTTGAGTCTCAGGGACTTTTCTGCCTGGGCTTTTTTTTTTTCAAACTATGATACTTGGATCTTAGCCTTTTGAATAGCTTGGATTACAGGCATGAGCCACTGAAGACACATGAGTTTCAATTTGAGCGTTTCAGACTTGTGTGATTAAAACTTTTTGTTAAGAAGTGTTCTTTTGAGTGTAAAAATCTTTAGGATGGTCCTTAAACTGACATATATATATATATATACACACACATAAACAGACATATATATATACATATATATATATATATATATGATTTACTGTTACTCTTAAAAATGGTTACTATTTTTCAATCATATTTAACAAAAATGGAGGCATTCAAGAATAGGGTAGGCTCAAACCAAAGGAAAAAAATGAGTATTTTTAGATGTAAACAATAAAAGGGATCTTAAAATCTGGAAAAATGATCATGTTTCATGCTGTTATAAATTTCATATACAGTTATCTCTTACAATATATGGATCTACCAATACTTACAATTGGGGGGGGGTTGTGGGGCTTGAACTCTGGGTGTGGGTGCTGTCCCTGAGCTCTTTAGCTCAAGGTGAGTGCTCTACCACTTGAACACAGTGCCATCTCTGGTTTTCTAGTGGTTTATTGGAGATAGTCTCACGGACTTTCCTGCCTGGGCTGGCTTTTGAACCTTGATCCTCAGATCTTAACCTCCTGAGTAGCTAAAATTACATGTGTGAGCAACTGGTACCTGGCCTTACAAATTTTTTTGGTATGCTTTTTATTGTAAAAATATGGCCTTACAAAATTTTTATTGCATAAAGAAACAGTTGCAGATTCCCTTTTTTCATGGATACTAAGAGTATATTATCAAGAAAAGAAACATTATTGTCTAAAGTCAAAGATACTGTAACAGTTATTTTAAAATGTACACTGGAAAGTCAGAAAGGAGCTAGCAAGTAGGAAAGGTATACAGGAAGGTATGAAAACATTTTTTTGGGGGGAAAACAAAGATAAAGAAAATTCTTTTAAACGTGGAAGTAATGAAAGTAAGCTTTGTTTTAAAGAAGTGTTCCCAAATGGGAAAAAAAAAGTAGAATAAATTTGGTCCTTAAAGAGTGTTGTATAGAGAGTAGAAACAGCTCGGACAAAGAAATCAGAATGCTATGAATAGGTCTTGAAGTATATAAAAGATGGAAATTATGAAGGGTTTATGTGTGTAATTAAGCTGGCTGTAATTTAAAAGATTATCTTAGGGTTTTTCTAGGGTCAAGATTGAATACACTTATATAAAACTAACACTAAAAGCTACCAGCACGACTATGTTTATTGCAGCATTATTTACCATAGCTAAGATATGGAACCAACCCAGATGCCACCCAGTAGATGAATGGATCAAGAAAATGTGGTATATATACACAATGGAATTCTATGCCCCCATCAGAAAAAATGGCATTGCCCC